GCTCAAATATCCAAATCTACAAAAACAATATAATACACAAACATTAGTAATTATTAAATAATTAATTATAATTTTGGAAACATTATATAGAAATTCTTACCTTAAAGGCCCTAATAAAGCCTGACAAAGTGTATTTAGAACCATCGCCACGCAAACTTTTGCGGTCATCAAAGGCAGACGACAACTTATTTAGGTATCTTTCCATAGATACGAACCCCATGGAAACAGGTTCCATGCATTTAGGTCCTCTACCAATAATATTAGGTCCTTAGGAATAGGTTGTCTGGCCTCTCTGCCTAAAAAGTTGGCATGAAAAAGTACTAAAAGGCATACTCGGACAACATCGACATCATCCATCCAAGTAAAACCATCTTTCTTATTCAATAATCTCGTCAAGTCGTCGACGTGTAAATTCGGCTTCTCCATTGACAGCTCAGGAAAAACCCGGGATAACCATGATGGGCGAGTAATATGACTAGTGTATCGACCTACATCATCGTGTCCGAAGCGTAGATCAGTGATTAAGCAAAACTCCTCCCGCCCAAAACACGTATACGCGCGGTGTAAAATGAAACCATATCTCTTTATTACCACGTTTTATACTCTCGGGTAGATTGCTAGTCATGGTCTGAAGCCACAAATGGGTCAACATAGCATCTCCACCCGGATGTTGTACTTTCAACCATGGCCCGAAGCAAGTATCCTCAAACAATTTTCTTTGTACAGTGAAAGCTTCGACGCAATTGTAGTGACTAGGCTTATTTTATTCCTTAAGGTCAATTGAGCCGAAAAAAAGTTCTACAAAAACAATAAACATACCATGTTAGATTAAAAACTACACTGTGAAGATATACCAAAAAGAATAATAAATATAAAGAGTAGTAGTAGTTTATTCTTCAAACTTAAATTTGCAACACTGTGAATTTCGTATTTGTCTTTGTTTTTTGGTTGAAGTAATGCAATTCATTCAAGTTTCAATTTACAGAAGAATAATAGTTTCTGAAACTTAAAATCGTAACACGAAAATGAAAATCGTAACACGAAAATGACTATCGCAACGCGAATTTGACTATCGCAACGCGATATGAAAATCGCAACGCGAAACTAAAATCGCGTTGCGATTTTGTCGTTGCGATTTTCATTTCACGTTGCGATCCTCGGTTTCAAATAGTCATTGTCTAAAATTGAAACTTGAATGAATTGCATTACTTCAACCAAAGGACAAAATAAAGACAAATACTAACTTTACAGGGTTAAAGACTAAACAATTTAGCAGTATTGGCAGCAATCGAATGAATTTAATAAGCAATCTAAGTGAAATGGTTAATCTATTATTGAAATTACCAGTAAACTTATCATCAATTTCAATATGAAAAACCTAATAATAATGCAAAAATTTCAAAATAAAAATAATTAAAAAAACTAACCCTCGGTGGTTGATTTGGTTGATTTTCCATTTCTGATCGTGAATGATTGTGAGGGTGGCTCTGAGAGATGGAGATAGATGGATTTTGCTGGAGATGGGGACAAATTTCATCGGAGATGGGGATGGATGTCGTCGTAGAGAGTGAGAATGGAGAAGATGGGATTGAGTTGTGACTTAGGGTTTTAGGTTAAGAGTTGCGATTACGGGATGTATTAATATTCTTGTTTGGAATTTGAAAATAAAATACGTTTTGCGATACTAATGGCGCTTTGAAAATCGCATTGCGATTTTGTATTATCGCAACGCGATAGTCAGAATCACGTTGCGATAGTAAGAATCGCGTTGCGATTATGTATTATCGCGTTGTGATAGTCAGAATCTCGTTGCGATTATGTATTATCGCGTTGCGATAGTCAAAATCGCATTGCGATAGTCAAAATCGCGTTGCGATTTACATATTCACATTGCGATAGTCAAAATCGCGTTGCGAATCTGGAAACTGATTTGCGATACTGGAGATCGCGTTGCGATTTAGAGATCGCATTGCGATTTTGTTGGTCATTTTGGCAAATCGAAAAAACGTTGGTCAAAATCGTATATTATAAGGAATTTTCGGTCACTGAGGTTATTTTCTCTATTTTAAATTCTAATTTATCATTGCATATTACCTTAGTTTTTAAAATATATTTTTATTAGATATTATTATCATTAGATAAAGCTAAAAATAAAAGAAAAGGAAAGCATAATCATGTTTTGGGGTTAAACCCTCCTAAACTTATTGATTTGAGCCTTAGTTTTGTTTTTCAACCGCTCTTCAACATCAACCGCTTAATCACTTGTTTTTGATGTTATTGAGTTTTTTCTTTTGGAATAATTACCTTATATTAAATATGGAGTTGGTCAACATTGTCTTGTTGAGGTTCTGGATTCACTTCTTAATCAACGATAGGTATATAGATCTCAACACAATAAAAAGTGATAGTAAGAACTGAATTAGAATTCAAATCAACCTCAAAAGCAATGTCTATAACCTTATTTCTCTCTTCAAACTCAACATCCTCAAAAAATGTTACATTTTACGTTTATTTTTTTTAATCATAGGATAATAAAATATATAGTCGTTAGGTGGCTCAGAATAACCAATAAAGTAGTTATTTCATGTTCTGAAGTCTAATTTAATTTTATGTGGTCTATAAGGCCTTGCCTCAGTTGGACATTCTCAAATGTAAAGGTTCTTTAAACTAGGCTTTGACTTTACAAATCTCATAAGATGTTTTTACAATTGCTTTAGTGAGATTCTATCCAGAATGTAAGTTGCTGTCTTTAATGTTTCTCTCCAAAGAGACTTATGTACTGTTTACTATTTCCTTAAAAGTCATATAATGTCTCTCAAATCTACCATTTTTACTAGGTGATCTTGGCATGATTTATTGTGGCACAATATCATATTCTTCGAGGAATTTTGTAAATAGTCTCGGAAGTTGTTCACCTAAAACATTATATCTATCGTAGTACACATCATCACGATCAATTCAAACCTTCTTAATTCTTTTGTTAAATTGATTCTCAACTTTAGCTTTATAAGTTTTGACCACATCCAAAGACTGATATTTCTCATGAATGAGATATAGGTACCCATAACATGAGTAGTTGTATATTAATGTTTGAAATATTATTAATCATTCTAGGATGACGTAGGGAATAATCCAGAAATATTCATATCAATTAATTCTAAGATGTCTAAAGTTTTGTTGGCACTTAGTTTCTTAGATTTTGTCTTTTTCTTCTTGATACAGTCAACACAGACATCAAAATCTGTAAAGGATCCTAAAATACCATTAGACACTAAACATTAAACTTTACCTTTTAAGATATGACCTAAGTGCTTGTGTATAATGATGTTTAATTTTTCTTATTTAATTTGTGTTAGGATCATGTGATTCCACGTGTAAGATTTCATTATAGTATGCAATTATATCTAGTAAATAAATGTTTTCATAAGCATTTAAATAATCGCTTCCAACAATATATGAATTTAAAGACAAAGTAAAGTAATTATTTCTAAATGAACAATAATATCCATATTTGTCCAATGAAGAAATGAAAACTAAATTCTACCTAAAAGACGATACAACGAATGTCTTTTAAATCCAAATAAAAATCGGTTCCTAATAACAACCTAAAATTCTCAAGCAACCTTGCATACACTTTTGTTAGTAGTAGTATCATAATCTATACAGCAAATGTTTTTAGTACTAAAGTTAAATTAACATCAGAACATGCCAAAGTAAAAATGATATCTTACTTTGCACTTCAAACATGATATTTTACATATTCTCACTTCATGTGTCCAAGCTTATTACAAAAGAAATAACTTTCTTTAACAATTTTTTTTTAGCAGAACCTTTAACTATTTCATTATAATGTTTTTCTTTCTCTTATCTTTAAATGTATTAGCCAAGTGAGAACTTTCCTATTTATCTTGCTTCAACCTTTCTTCCTTTTGTACACAATAAAAAATGAGTTCATCAGTGTCTGTTTCTTCTTTTGGTGCTTATAAATCTTCAATGTGATCTTAAGTGCTTTAAGTTTTAAAGTAATATGATACATTTTCATAATGCACTTGACATTTTCTTGACATTTATATTTCATAAACATCAAAGTAATATGAAGTTTTATTTTTCTCTCCTGCTGCATTCGTCTCATAAATTGCGTCACATGTTGATTATATACATGGTTCAGGAAATAAATTTGACATGTCAAGTTTTTAAAAATAAGTTTGATAAATTTATTTTGATAAGTGTAAAAAGTTAAAGGTTAAAGAAATATACAAGTGTTGATACTATTGCTATTTGTTGCTTTTTCTAATAGAACATTTTAAATGAGACAATTTTAAAATCCAAAAAGTTTTCTCTTTCTATCTTCTCTATTGCTGTAACTTTTTGTTCCTCGATAAGGTTAGAACATCATAAGTAATAACTCAGAACAAACCATAGAAAAACAAAGACTAACAAGAACTAATCAACTTCAATCAGCTCATGGTTTCTATTCGTTGGATCACCATTCGTAGCATCTACATATAACATCTCTTGTACCACTTGAGGGTGCTGGAGGTAAGTGTCGGTATCCAAATTATCAAAACATGCAAGCTTAGCAAATTGATCTGCAATACTATTTCCGGCTCGTTGGACGTGAACAAACTTTAGTTCCCACTGCTTTTTCGGTAGTTCTTTGACAAAATATAGAATTGTTGGAGCACCCGGCCAATCTTCAAGTTAATCACCAATTGAATGCCCCTCAAGCTATCCGTTTCATATTTTTATCAATAATGAACTTTAAATAATAATGAGTCAGACGTTGGTTGCAGCACAAAAGGAAAAAGAAAACATATCAAGAATCATAAAGGAAATGAGGCAACCAATCACAAACACATTCAATAACCATCAAAATGTGTATATAATTGCCCTACTAATATCCACTAAAACACCATAACAAAATCCATTACCTACATTTCAAATTTCAAAGTAGCAAAATGGCATAAAATAGATAAAACCAAAATCAAAGCAGCTCTATGTTCACAGGTCTTGGACACTCAAACCTGCAAACACGAGACAAATGAGAAACGCAGTCAAGACCAATAGTTCATTTTAGCTACTAATCTACCATTAAAACATTTCATTTGTTCATTACTGCTGGTTTTGATCGAAAAATTCAAAAAGAGGCTCCAAAACATGTATGATGGTTTTACCTGGAGGAAGAGACTGCTTCAACTTATCCGCCTTCTCAGCATCAGAGACGCAAAGTGTGTACAAGTACTTCGAGCAGCGAACTTTGAACTTGACAAAATCTCTGCTCTTCTTGATTTTTACAGAGCGTGCATCTTTCCTTCTGGCAGTTAGAAGGAAGTCCTTGATCTCATGAATTTGCTTAGGCTGCACATAAAAACAAAAAGAAACATTCATTTAACACAGAACCATATAAATTAAAGCAAAAATAACCTATGTACTCAGTCACAGATACAGGATAGCGAAAGAATGTGCAAATATTTTAACTTTTATAGCAGGTTCACACACTTTGTTTCCACTAACCACTGGCTATAAAAACTTTTTTTCCTCAGTATTTAAATAAGTCCTTTGTCGACATCACAATCAAGTATTAAACCAACACAATTGATTCAATCATTAAATGCATCCTATCTTGTCCTTAAAGTACATATCTTATAACAATCAGTACAAGCATCCTATCTTGTCCTTAAAGTACATGCATCGTATCTTGTCCTTAAAGCACATATCTTATAACAATGCTAGAAAGTATATATATGCAAACGCTCTGCATCCTATCCTACTGATGAAGTGCCAGACACAAACACAGAAATCATTATTGAAGAGTATATAACAAAAATTCCTACGCATAGTATTAAATTGTGGAAGAAACACAATGTAACGGCTGCATAGTAACATTTTCCAAGTTCACCACAACAATGCAACAACATCCGCTATATAAAATCATAGTTATTTTTAGGAAATAAATCAGTCATAGCGTCCACAACACCAACAGTGACCACAATTTAGTACCATGTTCCTAAGAACTAAATGATAAGGAGAAAAACAAAGACAAAAACAATTAAACCTTCAATGGAAGACAAGAGATTCATGTTAAATACAAGAAATGGTGCAATGATTAAAATTTCTTACATAATCATTGTCCTAAAAAATTTAGAACCTCAAAACAACATGATCTTCTAATACAAAGGTGTTAACTTAAAAAGTTCCAGCAAAACACTTGAATAAAAATCTGAGATAAAACGTACATATTCCTTGTGAATGAACAAATTTGCACATTAATTCATCCAAAAACATTGCAATAATGCAAATCAGGAAATCCCATAAACTGAAAGTGATAGTAATTACAGTTCTGCAATCTCTAGAAAACATAAAGCCAAATCAAACCCTCAGTTATCTCTATAAACACAATTTCAGAAGAAAATTTGAAAAATCTAAAAAAAGCAGGCAGAAATAGAACAATTGGAAACAAGAACAAAGATCTGAAGCATGAATCATCATCAGAAAATACAAACATGGCATTTGGAGCATTGAAAGAAGAATATATTCAGAGATCTAAGGAGAAAATAGAAGAGAGAAATCTGGGTTTTACATTTTCGATCGAAGTTTGTGGAGAGCTTCTTGACTGCAAAAACACAAACACAGATTGCTCCGAACCCTAACTTTTCTTATATTCGATTAAGTATACAGACCACAATAAAAACCACAGAAAAGATTTCTGTGTTAAAACAGGGCCCAGCCCGAATTGGACCAGATTTTGGACAACTCTTTTAAAGTTCAGATCCGGTCTTCTTTTAGAAATAATTATGAAATATAAAATAAAATTTCTAGAAATATCTTTTAACAAAAATTAAAAACCCTTATTATTAGAAAACATGTAATAAAAAGAAAAATAAATAAATATGACTAAACAAGATTTTAGTCCCATAATTATGATTTTTTAACCCTCGGTAGTTTAATATGATTTATTCTCTCTCAACGATTCAGGTTTAAATAAAGATATTCACATGAGTGAGGGAAGATGAAATTAGCTTAAGATATTTTAAAAAAATATGAGATTTTTCATTTTATTTTTTACTCTAAACTTTTAAAAATTATAATATAATTATTAAAATAAAAAAAAATATTTTAATCACTTATCATTTTATTAGCATTAATTTATATGTTATGCTTTCCTCTTATTATTCTTGAAATACTTTATATATTTTCTATGAATTCTAATCGCTAAGAGTCGTTGGAAAAGCGTTATAATTATTAGCAACAAAGAAAACTGACATTTAATGCACGACAGATCGATTTTTTAATTAAAAAGATCGTCTATTCTTAAAATTTTGATCGTTTCCGGAAGATATCAATCATTTTGGAGAAAGACGTAGATCCTTTTATAATGGGATCAATTATTTGAGCCAAAAGAATCTTAAAAATTCATCTTTAGAAAACAAAAACGATTGAATATTCTGATTAAAAACAATTAAAAGAACATAGAGGAAAGTTTATAAAACGCAATAAGCTATTTAATTAAAGTAATTATAAGCCTGGGCCAAGCAAAAACCCTTTAATAAATGCTTAAGCCTAAGAAACCCTCGTCAACTGTAAAACTATATGGTATGCAATATTAATATTACCAAATACTATATATATATATATATATATATATATCGTAATCATCCTTCGGGTGATCCCGGAATCGAGTTTTGACATAAATTGATGTGATGGAGCCACCATCAATCATTTCAAAATAGGTTGATCAAACACCTTAACCTACCGTTTGTCTAATCTATGACTTACCAGAAATTAGTCGGATTCGAGAGTCGATTACAGACAACGAAGGATTAACACCCTTGAACTGCCCTTTCGATACCAATTTCAAATTTATGGGTCAAATTATGCTAGATGAGAGCTGCAAAAAAATAAAAAGGTTAGGGGGCAATTTATAAAATATGGAAAATATAAACAATGATTAAATTGAATTAATTCAAAATTCAAAGGCAAAATTACAACAGGTGACCAAAATGAACTACGCATCAAAACTTTAGGGACTGCGGAAATAATTTAAAATTTTAGTAATTACACAGAGGTCCCCTCTATAAATAGTCCAAAAATCACAAATTTCATTCATTTTCAACCATTTCTCAAAACTCACCTTTCTAAACTCTCTAAAAACTCTCTACATTCTCCCTTCACCGGTTGAAAACCGGCCACCCACCGACAAGGCTCCACCACCCGAACCACCGCTCCGGCCACTACCTCTGGTTGCCGGAATCCTAATAGCCAGCCTAAATCTCTCCTCTCAACACCCCAAAACTGAAAACAAAGCCCAATCACCCTAAAACGAAACCACCTACGTAGATCTAAAACATAAAGTCTTGGGTTTACCTTTTCCGACGAGTCCCTTAAACTTTCGAAGACTTTCCTTTCCCCACGAAGCTTATACGCGTTCCCGACAACCTTTGACGAAAACTCTTTTTTTATGATTTTTTAAAATATTCGAATGTTTTTGCTTTTGGCTCTTGCTCGGTTGCTCGATGCTTTCTTTCGTGTGGTATTTCGATGGCGTTCGGTGTGTGGTTCTCGTTTGATTTGCAGGTATATATATAGCCCCTCGATGGGGTTATTCCCGACTTTGATAGGGATTGTTTCCCACATCCCCGATTCACTCGGGCCTGTTGTTGTTCGTGGTGGCCGGGAATCTCAGGAAAATATTTGTTCCCGAATTGTTTCTATTTTGATACTTTGAAATCATTCTCCGATTTGCTCTTTGGTTTTTGGTTTGGTGACCTTGCTGGCACGTGTTCTCCATGCGCCATTGAACAGTAATTGTTGGGTCCCTGATGCGTTTTCAACTGTTGGATCGAAGAGCCAGATCCAACGGCCCTGGCTGATGCGACGTTGATGCTTAAGTACGAAACCCTAATGATTCTTCCCCACTGGGCTTGCTCCTTGTTGTTGAGCAGAATTACGAATGACTCCTTCGTCATGAAGTTGAGTCAATCTTGGATGACTTTGAGCATGATATCATTTGTCATGAAGTTGAAATCATGGTTGACCCCTTTGTCGTGAAGTTGAGTTAATCTTGGATGATTCGAACATGATATCCTTTGTTGTGAAGTTAAAATCTAGCTCGATGCCTGGGCTGGGTGGTAACTCCTTACTATTGAGTTAAGATAAATCGTAGTTGATCTTATGTCTTCTTGTAGTCCAATATCCTTCATCGTGAATTGAAATTTGACTTGAATACCTTAGTTGTCATTGAGTTGAATTATGTTGTAAATGACCCATTCGCCTTGAAGTTAAGTCGATTTCGGGTGTCTTAGGCACGATATCCTTCGTTGTGAAGTTGAAATTGTGGGTGACTCCTTTATTGCGAAGTTGAGTCAAGATTGAATATTCATCTGAGTCATATATCCTTCGTCGTGAAGTTAGAACCTTACTCGGATAAGTTGTTTTAATTTAATCTCAAGTATTCTTTGAGTTCAATATCCTTCATTGTGAAGTTGAAATTGATTCTGACAAAAATCTGCAAAATTGTACACATGTGTGCAATTCTATAGATGTGATGTCCTTATGCATGCCTAAAATGTATATGCAAATATGTTATTTTAGGATTTTCTGCCTTAGAGAGAAGTCTCGATCTCTTTCTGTTAGTCTTGATTTTTCTGATACTCTGATATCTCTTGATCCTTAATCAATGCTTTTCCTTTCCTCAGTGGATTTTGAACTGTACCCATGCCATTCTTCCGAGTATCGTGCAAGAACCTTTATAAGCTTCCAAACACCTGTACTTTTCAGAAAATCTTTGTATAATAATACACAATGATCTTTTTTAAAGTGAATAAATTATTCTTATTTAAATTCAATGCAAGATGCTAAGGAATCAGATTCTCTAAAAAATGATCATATTTATTTATGAGGAATAAGAATAAATAAATGTCAAACATTTGGGAGAGAGAATATTCAAAGGAACAAATAGGTGCCCTAAATATTAGTGGTGTGGACTCCTTTGAACTGGCACACTGTTAGATGACTTGAGTGTAGCTTATGTTAAGGGGACTTCAAGATTATGGCAGTGCTTGAAGGGTGCAAAGTTCCTTCAAAATTATTGAGTCTCTGGTGACTTGGATGTCGTGATGTTTTATCGCCTTGATCTAGGACCTCCCCGTGCTTGAATCTTGGATCGTTACCTAAGCCGCCCTTTTGGGTTTTCAACTTGGATTCTCCCTTGGTTTCAAGACGCCCTTTGCGGGTTTTCATCTTGGACCCTCTTTTTTTGTTTAAAGCACCCTTTTCGGGTTTTCACTCTAAACATCACTCAAAAAAGTTCAAGCGAAATATCTTTTGACTACATCAGAATTAACTAGGTTAATAGGCAAAATCATTTTCACCATGAGATATCCCTCATGAAATATTCTTGGGCATACTTTCTTGTTGTGTGCTCAAATCATTCGTTTTTTATATATTTGACCATAGTGAATGGCTTTCAACCTCTTTTCCTCTATTAAGTTCAATTGATCATACGAGTTTGTGCTCACTCCACATCATCCAACTTTACCTCTAACAAAACTCGGAGTGATAAGATTTCCACCTCAATGGGTAACACCGCCTCTATTTCGTAAGCTAATGAAAATGGGGTTGCCCCAGTCAAAATCGTACCAAAGTTTGATAGGAAAACAAAGCAAAAGATAATTTCTCGTGCCATTCTTTGTATGTTTCAGTCATTTTCTCCATTATTTTTGTAACACCCCGACCCGTACCTAACCTGGATACAAATATAAGGTATCACATTGACTTTTCAAAATTTTGTCTATTTGAAAATCCGACTAAAAATTTGACAATGAAAACAAATAATGAATATTTTTACAAAACATAACATAGTATTTGCTATTTACACGTTTATAGTATATGCAAACCAAATTTCAAATACCAAATCATATACTATGCAAATCATTCTGATCCGATATTCTTCAAAGATATGATGTCCTGCCCTTGCTTACTCCACTGACTCCTCTGAACCTACGTGTGAAAACACTCACACGCTAAGTCATTGTATTAGTGAGGCTTAAATGAGCATAATAAAAATAAAGCATTTACTTAAACATTTACAAAGAAACATTTAATACGGTAAAAAATATACATTTCAGTAAAATAACATATTCTATTATACAATGTTAAATTCATATTAATTTGTTTAAATAGCCCAACGTATATCACTGAGAACTCAAGGTATGCGAGTGTTTTAAGGCTGTGCACTATAATTGCATTCGAAACTGCCGCGTAGAATTTGCACCGAAGTGCCATGTAGAATATGCACTGAAGTGCCACATAGATTTTTCCCGAAGGACCGCATAGAATTGTCCCGAATGACCTCGTAGAATTGTCTCGAATGACAACATGGAATTGTCTTGAAGGACCGCGTAGAACCCTCGACTCTTAGCATGCCAACTATACCTCTAATTCTCATATCATATACTTTGGGCTTTAACCATATAATTATTTCACATCGTATTAAACAAATTGTCATTTGCTCACATAAAACATATATTCATAGTACTTCATATAGCATTACTCAATTTATCATTTATTCACATAAAACAATTACTTATCTCATTTTACATAGCATTACTCAATTTATAATTTATTCACATAGATCATATACTTATAGTTTTTCATATAGCATTATTCGAATTATCATTTATTCTATAGAACATATTCACATAGATCATATACT